AAAACCCGGCAGAGACTCAACAGGAAAAGAAAACTTCAGGCCAATATCAATGATAAACATAGATGCCAAAATCTTCAATAAAATATTGGCAAGCCGAATGCAACAGCACATCAAAAAACTTATCCATCATGATCAAGTAGGATTCATCCCGGGGATGCAAGGCTGATGCAACATACGCAAGTCTATAAATGTAATTCACCACATAAACAGAACCAAAAACAAAAACCACATGATTATCTCAATTGACGCAGAGAGGCCTTCAACAAAATTCAACAGCCCTTTATGCTAAAAACCCTCAATAAACTTGGTATCGATGGAATGTATCTCAAAGTAATAAAAGCTATTTACGACAAACCAACAGCCAATATCGTACTGAAGGAGCAAAAACTGGAAGCATTCTCTTTGAAATCTGGCACTAGACAAGAATGCCCTCCTTCCCCACTTCTATTCAATATAGTTCTGGAAGTTCTAGCCAGAGCAATCAGACAAGAAAAACAAATAAAGGGTATTCAAATAGGAAAGGAGGAAGCCAAATGGTCTCTATTTGCAGACGACATGATAGTACACCTAGAAGACCCCATCACCTCAGCCCAAAAACTCCTGAAACTGATAAGCAACTTCAGCAAAGTCTCAGGATACAAAATCAATGTGCAAAAATCACAAGCATTCCTATACACCAATAACAGACTGAAAGAGAGCCAAATCAAGAACGAACTGCCATTCACAATTGCTACAAAAAGAATAAAATACCTAGGAATATAACTTACAAGAAACGTAAGAGATCTCTTCAAGGAAAATTACAAACCACTGCTCAACAAAATAAGAGAGGACACAAACAGATGGAGAAACATTCCATGTTCATGGTTAGGAAGATTCAATATCGTGAAAATGGCTATAATGCCCAAAGTAATTTACAGATTCAACGCTATCCCCATCAAGCTATCATTGACTTTCTTCACAGAACTGGAAAAAACCACCATGAACTTCATATGGAACCAAAAGAGAGTCCGCATAGCCAAGTCAATTCTAAGCAAGAAGAACACAGTGGGAGGCAGCACACTACCGAACTTCACACTATACTACAAGGCTACAGTAATCAAAACAGCATGGTACTGGTACCAAAACAGAGATATAGAACAATGGAACAGAACAGAGGCATCGGAGGCAACACAACATATCTACAACCATACAATCTTTGATAAACCTGACAAAAACAAGCAATGGGGAAAGGATTCCCTGTTTAATAAATGGTGTTGGGATAACTGGCTAACCATATGCAGAAAGCAGAAACTGGACCCCTTCCTGACAACTTATACTAAAATTAACTCCAGATGGTTTAAAGACTTAAATATAAGACCTGGCACCATAAAAACCCTAGAGGAAAATCTAGGCAAAACCATTCAGGACATAGGAGTAGGCAAGGACTTCATGACCAAAACACCAAAAGTGTTGGCAACAAAAGCCAAAATAGACAAATGGGACCTAATCAAACTCCACAGCTTTTGTACGGCAAAAGAAACAGTCACTAGAGTGAATCGGTAACCAACAGAATGGGAAAAAAATTTTGCAGTTTACCCATCTGACAAAGGGCTGATATCCGGAATTTCCAAAGAACTCAAACAGATTTACAGGAAAAAAACAAGCCCATTCAAAAATGTGCAAAGGATATGAACAGATACTTTTCAAAAGAAGACATACATGAGGCCAACAAACATATGAAAAAATGCTCATCATCACTGGTCATTAGAGAGATGCAAATCAAAACCACATTGAGATACCATCTCATGCCAGATAGAATGGCGATCATTAAAAAATTTGGAGACGCAAATCAAAACCACATTGAGATACCATCTCACGCCAGTTAGAATGGCGATCATTAAAAAATCTGGAGACAACAGATGCTGGAGAGGATGTGGAGAAAAAGGAACACTTTTACACTGTTGGTGGGAGTGTAAATTAGTTCAACCATTGTGGAAGATGGTGTGGCGATTCCTCAAGGCCTTAGAAATAGAAATTCCATTTGACCCAGCAATCCCATTACTGGGTATATATCCAAAAGTCTGTAAATCGATCTACTATAAGGACACATGTACACGAATGTTCATTGCAGCACTGTTTACAATAGCAAAGACCTGGAATCAACCCAAATGCCCATTGATAATAGACTGGATTGGAAAAATGTGGCACATATACACCATGGAATATTATGCAGCAATCAGAAATGATGAGTTTGTGTCATTTGTAGGGACATGGATGAATCTGGAGAACATCATCCTCAGCAAACTGACACAAGAACAGAAAATGAAACACCGCATATTCTCACTCATAGGTGGGTGATGAAAAATGAGAACACATGGACACAGAAAGTGGAGTACTAAACACTGGGGTCTATTGGGGGGAAAAGGGGAGGGCCAGTGGGAGGGGGAGGTGGGGAGGGATAGCCTGGGGAGAAAAGCCAAATGTGGGTGAAGGGGAGAAGAAAAGAAAGCACACTGCCATGTGTGTACCTACGCAACTGTCTTGCATGCTCTGCTCATGTACCCCAAAACCTATAATCCAATAAAAAATAAAAAAAATAAAAAAAATAAATTTGGAGACAACAGATGCTGGAGAGGATGTAGAGGAATAGGAACACTTTTACACTGTTGGTGGGAGTGTAAATTAGTTCAACCATTGTGGAAGACAGTGTGGCAATTCCTCAAGGCCTTAGAAATAGAAATTCCATTTGACCCAGCAATCCCATTACTGGGTATATATCCAAAAAACTGTAAATCATTCTACTATAAGAACACATGCACACGAATATTCATTGCAGCACTGTTTACAATAGCAAAGACCTGGAACCAACCCAAATGGCCATCCACGATAGACTGGATTGGGAAAATTTGGCCCATATACACCATGGAATATTATGCAGCAATCAAAAAGGATGAATTTGTATCCTTTGTAGGGACATGGGTGAATTTGGAGAACATCATTCTCAGCAAACTGACACAAGAACAGAAAATGAAATACCACATACTCTCGCTCATAGGCGGGTGATGGAAAAAGAGAACACATGGACACAGGGAAGGGAGTACTACCTGGGGGGAATAGGGAAGGGACAGTGGGGGGGGAGGGATAGCCTGGGGAGAAATGCCAAATGTGGGTGAAGGGGAAGGTGGCCACAAAACACACTGCCATGTGTGTAGCTATGCATCTATCTTGCATGATCTGCACATGTACCCCAAAACCTAAAATGCAATATAAAGAAAAAAAGAAAGGAAACTTGTGTATGTTTCACGAAGTTCTCGTGTTGTGTTTTTCTGCTCCATCAATTCATTTACATTTTTCTCTAAGCTGTTTATTCTTGTTAGCATTTCCTCAAACCTTTTTTCAAGGTCCTTAGTTTTTTTGCATTTGGTTAGAACATCTTCTTTTAGCTCAGAGAAGTTTGTTATTACCCACCTTCTGAAGCCTGTTTCTGTCAATTCATCAGACTCATTTTTCATCCAGCCTTGTTCCCTTGTTGGTGAGGAGTTGTGATCCCTTGGAGGAGGAGAGCCATTCTGGTTTCAGGCGTTTTCATCCTTTCTGTGCTTGTTTCTTCCCATCTTTGTGGATTTACCTACCTGTGATCTTTGTAGTTGGTGACTTTCAGATGGGTTGTCTGAGTGATGTCCTTTTTGTTGATGATGAAGTTATTTCTTTCTGTTTTTTAGATTTCCTTCTAACAATCAGGCACCTCTACTGTAGAACTACTGGAGGTCCACTTCAGACCCTGCATGCCTGGGGATCACCTGCAGCATCTGCAGAATTGTAAGGGTTGCTGCCAGTTTCTTCTTCTATTATCTTTGTCCCAGAAGGATATTTGCCAGATGTCAGCCTGAGCTCTCCTTTATGAGGTGTCTCTTAGGGTATAGGGTGGTTGTGAAGCTGCTTGAGGAGACAGTCTGTCCCTTATAGGAGCTCAAGTGCTGAGCTGTGAGCTCCGTTGTTCCATTCAAAGCTGCTGGGCAGGTACGTTTAAGTCTGCTTCCGTGGAATTCATAACCACCTTTTTTTCCCAGGTGCTCTTTCCTGGGAAGGTGGGGCTTTATTTATATGTCCCTGATGTGCTCCTGCCTTTTTTCAGAGATGCCCTGCCTAGCGAGGTAGCCTAGTCACAGTCTGCCAGCAGTGGCATTGTGAACTTCCTTGTGGTTTTGTTTATAGAGGTATAGTTAGAACTGCCTCAGTAATGGTGGTCTGCCTCAGTAATGGTGGACTGTCTCCATAAAAACAGACTGCCTTGGTAATGGCGGATTGCCTCAGTAATGGCGGACTGCCTTGGTAGTGGTGGACTGCTTTGGTAATGGTGGACGTCCTTCCCCGCCACAGAGCTGAAGCATCCTGGGTCCAGCTGTGCTTGCTGTGAAATTCACTCCAGAGCATTTCAGATTGTGGGACTTTGGGGGGGGGGTGGGACCCACCAAGCCAGATCACCTGGCTCCCTGTTTCAGCCCCCTATTTTTTCAGTTGAATGGGTGACTCTGTCTCCCAGTCATTTCAGGCATCAATTGAAACAGTACCCAGATTTTTGTGAGTTTTTGTGTGGAGACCCACTGCTCCAGCTGAAATAGCCATACTAGAGACTTGTGGCACTGTTCCATCTGGGAATTACCTGGTCTATGGGCAGTAAAAATTCATTTGGAAATGCAGAGATCACTCATCTTCTGTGTTCGCACTGGGAACTGCACTCCAGAGCTGTTCCTATTTGGCCATCTTGGATCATCGCTCCCCTGCAATTCTTTTAAATGGGGTTAGCTCATACTTCTCGATTTGAATTTGAACAGTAAAATGGTATAAAATGTTATCACTAAGCTTAGAGATGACAAACACAGGATAAAATTACCAAAATTTGATTCAGATTTAATGTGAAAGCAGATTAAACTTTTCCTCAGGATATGAAACTAGAATATGCATACTTACCCACCTCAGGACCATCTGAAGCCCTAGTTACTGCCTTATGCTGAACTCACCATGAGGCGTGGAGAACAGACTGAGTAAAATGATAACACTGGGTTGAACTCCATGTTCTATAAGAACCTTTACAGCTTCAATTACAGTATTTCCAGTGCCTGAAAGCAAAAGATAACCAAATGCATTAGCCACTTTAACATTTATTTTAAAATGTCTTTTTTTTTTGAGACAGAAAATCACTCTGTCACTCAAGCTGTAGTACAGTGCCACAATCTAGGCCATCCTCCCACCTCAGTCTCCCAAGTAGCTGGGACTATAGGCATGTGCTACCACACCCAGCTGCTTTTTCTATTTATTGCAGAAATGAGGTCTCCATATGTTGCCCAGGCTGGTCATGAACTGAGCTCAAGTGATCCTTCCACCTCATCCTCCCAAAGTGCTGGGATTACAGGTGTGAGCCACAGTACCCAGTCACAAAATGTCTTTTAACAGTCTTTGAAGTAAAGGCAATATAGCAATCTAATACAAGAAAATAGGCAAAACTTCATTAGGAGGTAGTTGTTCTTTATCCATGCTATTTTCAATAATGGACATGACACATGCACTTCTCAGTTATCAAATACCAAGCCCTAAAATCATTTAGCATGTGAGGTATCAAATTTAACATATTCCCTCTCATCTACCTTGAAGACTATGCCAAGTGTTGTCTGAGTAAGCTTAAGAAAGAAAACAGAATAGCAGGAAAAATTATTACCTACAGAGAGAATAAATTCTTAAGGAAAATCCCTGCTGTACTCATTAAGCTAAAGAGGAAATATGTTTCAATATATTTTCTGCCTTCCATATATTTTGCTTCATTAAATCCTTTGTTTCAATGCATTCAAAACAGAAGCTTTTTGGGGCTAGTAAAGTCTGAATACTGTATATTCTCTTATTATACAATAAAATCACTCCAGGGAATGTCCCAGGGCAGTTTTCACAAATGAGAAAAGCACATTTAGAAACTATGTTTGCCTTTTATATAAGGGTACCTAGCAGGCAGGCACTACATTCAATTTAAACCCTAACCAAAGGTTACAAATAAATTGAAGCCACTCACTAAGAATTGGATACATCAGAAGGACTTTTCTCCGGTAAATGTCTGGGGGGAATTTGGCATAATATACTTTGGCTCTTTGTGTCTCCTCATCACTCTGAATCAGGATCTTTCCAATTCGTATGGATCGACAGCAGTCTCTTAAACCTTGTTCCATTGCCTCACCTTGAAAAATTAAAAAGAAAGAAAGAAGATTAGGGGAAAGAGAAAGTCCAAGAATAGTCCAAAGTAGAGTTTTTCTCTATTATCAGTACAAAAAGGAAGGAAGAAGAAAGTAATTATTTTGAAGCTGACAGCTTTTACTTCTGATATGCTCATACTTCATACCTAGTATATGTTAATTGAAACCAGGTTAGGGGCTGGTTAATGAAACTAGGATAAGCTGGTTTTATTGCTGGCTTACAAGTTTTAGAGCTGTCATGCTTCCATGATTATAGGAAATAAAGCATTTTGTTGAGCAGCTCCCTGAGCTTTTTTAATATCAGGAAGCGTTTTATCTCTATTATTTTAAATAGGCCTTTAAACCACTTAAATTTGTTACTTTGGGCTGAGAAAATGCAAAAGATTTATGGAAGAATAAAGGCTGTAGATCAAAAAGTTTCATTTTAGGTCAAGGTAGCATCAGGAGACATCACTTAGCTCAACAATGACTTCTCAACAGTATTTTGCTGCAAGTAGTGAAAACACTGTATATTGTTCCCCCTCTCCAAGGTAAAAATAACTAGCACTACCACCCTTGGTTTCTGAACACAGAGCTATTTTTGAGTCTGAATTCCTTTAAGGAAGTGTTTGCTAAAAAGCAATCATTCTCATGTCATCTTCAAGATTTTAGGCCATATCAGAATTCTACCAATACTGGCATTTACTTAACATTTTTCTTAAATTAATTGTTTTCATTTAAATTTATTTTAAGAAGAAACTATATCACTAGTAAAAACACAAAACCAGTTTCTAATATATATGAAAATCAACAAATGGCTATTAAGGTTATAAACAATTCTGTACATCACCACAAGTCATCTGGTATATAGTCGGGGTGCAAGGACCATGCTGGTGCCTTTAGGGAAGAAGCTGAACTGAAACAGAAGAAACTGTGCCTTAAAAGTCCATTTTCTTTACCAGTTTTTAAAAGTTGAACATCATTGTCCTGAAATGCTATCAATGTTTAAGAGTTGCGTCCTAGAAAAAAGGAGCTTAAAGTTCCTAGTTTACTTGAGGCATTTAATTGTTCACAAACAGAACTTCATAACCAGAAGAGGAAAGTGAATGTTTATATGTTAAAAAATTAAACTATATATATTCAGTGCAAACAAGTGGAGCTTCTACCACTTATGCAAAAAATATAAATCTTATGTAAAACAATTAAGTTTGCAGAATGGAAATAACCCCACATAACAGGTATAGTTCTCATCACAGGCAAGTGATTTTTCTATATTGGTTTAGAAGGAGACTCAAACATAAATAAATTTGTAAGACCAGCAAATGGAAATACCTAGAGTTAATGACAGTAAAGCACTTTTGCCTATTTGGTCACATAGTCATCATATATAAAATTTAAAAGTATCAGGCCAGGTGTCGTGGCTCATGTCCATAATCCCAGCACTTTAGTAGGCTGAGGTGGGAGCATCACTGGAGGCCAGGAGTTTTAGACAGCCTGGGCAACATAGCAAGACCTCACCTCTACAAAAAAAAAATTTTTTTAATTTGCTAGGTATAGTGGCATGTGCCTGTAGTCCTAGCTGCTCAGGAGGCTCAGGTGGGAGGATTACTTGAACTCAGGGTTTTGAAGTTACAGTGAGCTATGATCACACCACCATACTCCAGCCTGGATAACAGAGTGAGGCCCTGTCTCAAAAAAAAAAAATTAAAAATATCAAATGAGTCATTTAGCCCAACAACAGAAATAAAAACGGAAGAAGTATTTTCTCCAGTCAGGCATTCAAAGTTCTGCAGGCCTGAATTTATACCACATTCCCTCAGTCTTCAAACTGCCCTGTTCTCTACAAGATAGTATCATCACATCATCACATCCTCCTATCCTCCTATCCTCCCCTGAATCTCTTTGAATGCTGGCTTGCCCATGGGGACACTCTACTAGGGAATATGCTCTGTAGTTAAAATTAGCCAAACCTAGCATCACACAGGCCATGACTCCACAGCACCATGAGGCTAGATAACACAGGTGGTGAGAGTTAACTGAAGACAAGCTGCAATTATGACAGACAAACCTGCCTCTCTTCTGGAAAACAGCAACCATCTCTATGCATACAAAGAGACAAAAATCACACACATGTGCACCTACCGCTTCTCATTATGCTGACCCCACAATTTCCCTTCTCAAATTTCACTCCTTCATACTTGTACCCTGTTAGGAAATAAAACCAAAGAATTTATCTTTCATCACTGGGGCAACCTATTTATTTAAAAAAGTTTCTACAATTTAAAATAGATGGGCACAAAGCAACCCTTGTTCAGACACACTGTATAATGCCTGAGATTCCCTGTGGCAGTAATGAGATGAGCCATGATTTGGCAGTTATTTCTTAATTCTTCATAAGAAACCTGTGGGGATAATTGGGAAAGGCAGACTTCATCGAATGGGAATAGGACTTATTATAACATGATATTCACATACACATTCTTCAAACTGAATTCAAAGGAGAATCACTGCACTCCGAGAATACTAAATACCTTATCAGTTCAAACTGGGACCCCACTGTGAGCCACAGCAGAAAGCTTCCTCATTCCTTTCTTACTTATGAGCCACCATTCTGCCTTAAAAGCAGAAGAAGGTGGCTGAAGTAGTTATCAAGACATGCTCAACCCTTGGTCTCATCCTGAATTTATGTCAATTATGATGCAACAAGCTCAGTCCCAAACTTTCATAAAGTCAGCCCTTTGAATAGAACAGTTTTCCATTATTTATTAAAGAACCAAATCAGAATTTCAAATCCCTGAAACAGAGATCTTTGACTACTTTCTATCCAAGGGTAGAACAAAGTACCCTCTCCAATTCTTATCATTTTTAGTTTACTTTTTTACTTTCTATTCCTTTTTAACATGGAATTTCAATGCCAAGACAGACTTGCCCATTTGTGCACACCAGCAGCTTCCCCATAGAGAGGAAGATAAGCTGCCAGCAATTCTTAACTGTGGTCCCAATGGGCCATCATCAGATGCAACACCTGCATGCTGAGGAGTATTTATTAACATTTAATTTGAATTGACAAGCAAGCCATTAACAAAAAGTCATCTACACAGATTTCTTTCCTAAATGCCTGAGTGTTTTTTAAAGATGTTTAAAAAAAAAACCAGCTCCACCTAGGCTTCTCATTTTGCATATTTATTTTACTTAGACTGCTTTACTTCTATCTTTCCCCATTCTAGCTCAAAATTTTTGAGGAAACTTTGAGAATAACAGCCCTAGTTACCTGTTGGAGTAGTCACCATGCATTCTTTATATGGCAGCTGATTCAATCCCTCTTCCACAACAAGTCTGATCTAGAGGGTCAAAGGAAGAAGAAGTTGAGAACCTGCTGGGAATCTGTTAGCTGTCAGCTTCAGGAGCTGAAAAGTAGGCAGAGTCACGAACACAATAGTCAAAGGTTACACTTATGAAGGCAGGAAGGGGTCCCCTATCATGTGTTAGATACAGGGATAGATCCAAATGCTATGCTACTTGCTGCTAGGTATCCAACCTCAGATAGACACATGATTGGCACCAAAAGAATCCAATATGCTTTTGGATTCTCATTCTGTCAGTCCAGAATATGAGGGACACAAAACTCCAGCAAGTGATAACAGTCATGGCAGGCACTCTTGGAAGTAATATACTTCTGATTATTCTGGATATAGTGCCCACTGGGAATTTCTCTGCTTTGTTCAGTATCTTGGAAATCGTTAAGTCAGATTATTTTTAACAAAGCCCCACCATAATGTAAATAAAGCCTGAAACTTCTTCAGAGGAAATAAATGAGTGCCTGGGCTGAACCAATTTACTGAGCTTGAAGGGGAATCCAGTAAAATGCACTGGGTCTTTTCAGCTAAAGAAAAGGCTCATATCAATTGTAATGTGTGGTACAAAGGAAAGCATCACTCAGAACTACTGGAAGAGCCTCCAAAAACAAGATATGGTAATCCTATGAACAACCAGAGACAACTACAATAAAAGTAGTGCTGAGTCTGCAATGCACATTTTATCCAATCAATATTACATTACTGATTGAGAATCTGCAACAGCAAGAAGAAGCACCAGGCCCCATGCTCTGTTATCACAACATATAATAACACCCTGCTGCCATTAAAAAAATCAATTCTAAATAAGCCAGGATTTTATCAGCCTGCAGCATCAGACAGAGGGCACAGGAACCTTATGAATACTACATATGTGTGCATACTCACCTCCAGCCACCACCTTCTGTGGAGATTTATGGTTTCTTTAATGACGAATTACAATGGTAAAAAAGGGTTCTTTTCTTTGAAGAGCCTAGACCTTTTCCTCCTAGTAACAGTCCTATAATGAGTCATACCTCCTATCCCCATCCCCTCCAACACTAGGACAGAAATTAATCTGCCCAAGTCTTACAGGAGAGCATAAAATCAGAATAGTGACTAAAATATTAAGAACTTAAGGATGTGAGGGCCAAGGAAGCCAATCCTGACAAATTCAGGATAAAATTAATGTTCACTATAATGGGACCTTGTGCTGTAGGAGACAGTGTACTAGAAATCCTCAAGAAGGTAAACCTAAACAGCTCTAGTCTCTACCACAACCACAACAGACCCTTTTTCACCCCATATCAGGACCTTCAAAGCTACCTGCAGAGAACAGAGAGAGGTACAAATCATCATCCCCTCAGGCGAATTATGCCATAGGTCCTTGCTATTTCAATGGGCTAAGATTATGCTTGCCCTTTCAGGGAAGCATCCTACAATCACTATGAACTTAATTCCTACTTTCTATAGAAAAGGAGCATAAGAACAGCAAAAGAAAGAGGAACCATTTTCTACCAGTAAATACCAAAACAGCAGCCATTAAGATACAAGTTCTTCAAGACTGTTCTTTTGGTTTGATAAAAGCATAAAAGACAGAATAACCTAACTTTTGCTCCTGGAATGTCAACCACATTTATCTTGGTACTATCCAAAGGTTATTACTGCCACTGAAAACTCAAGTAATTTTAAATAAAATTGGTCTCTGAACCAAGAATATTTATGGCCAAAAGCAGAACAGGAGTTGTCTATACTCTTTTGGAATAAATTCCTTAGGCAAAACCTAAATAAAAAGTTTCATGCCTTTTTTTCACATTCCTTTTTATTATCTCTTTTAATCTGTTTATAACTTTGGGGGTAAGAAGCCATGTTCATTCCTTTCTTTACCAAATTTGTACTTAGTTTGTAAATCTAATATTTAGATTGTAAACACCATGGGATTAGGGACCATGCCTACATTCTTCACTATTGTATCTCTCTCATCTCTCCAGACACAGCCTAGCACAGTGTCTGATTCACATAAGTTTAGTGAAATAAATTCATGAAATATACACTAAACTTCATGAATATACACTACAAATAAATATACATTAAACTATATTTATATGAATATAAATATACACTAAACTTTCCTGAATGTAATATATTTTCTGCTCTGGATTACAACTAATAACCACAGTGGAAAACATGTCAACCTCACTCCCAAGCACTGAGCATGCTTAGATATTAATACAAGAAGAAAACACAGTGCTTACCCTGAAGACAAACCAATTTGGGCTGAGACCCTCCCAGATCACACTACCTAAACATAACTGGGCTTGGGCAATCCTTAATAGGAAGTCCCTGAGGAACGCATAGGCAGTCAAATGTACTATTTCACATGTGAAGCATAGTTCAGGAAAGAAGAGGCAAAATAAGCACCACCCCCCCTCCCCACATAAACTACAAGAAATGTATTAGTTTTTGTACATTCACTGAATACCACAAGTGTAACTCTAAGTTCTTCTTACATTTCTGGTTTTCTTTTAATGTATTTCACTGCCCTAAGAGGAGGCACTTAAGAATTGCTGAGAACCAAATTACCAAGATCCAGTTGAGAGGTAATGGTATCTCAGAAATACAGGAAATTAGTTCATGGACAATGTTTTGAGGTAAAAGGTATTGAAGCAGATCTTTAATGCAACAGTAAAACAACACTTCATAAGCCTAGCAAGATGATGGTTACTTAATACAATCTCTTTCAGTCCCAGAATGCTTTAGAACAAAAATACTCCTTGGTCTACCATGATTATATCACTAGGCAAAACAACGAAATGAAAATGAAAAGCCTCCACCTACCAAACGATCCGCAGAAAACATGAAGTCCCCTCTACTGGCTGTCCTAAAAAAAATAGTACAAGTTTTAGTCTAAATTAGAGCTTTAAGATAAAATTTTATTTAATATGTACAGTAACACTGATATTAAGACCTATAACATACTAACAATTTAAATGCTTACAGGTACAGACTATTACTGAGGCAGGATACTTTTTACTAGAATACAGGCACCTAAATGAGATGACTTGATAAATAATGAAAATGCTTATTTGATACCAACATTAGAGACTGGAACTGAAAAGATCATGCAGTCCCCCACTGAGCTGCCCAAGTACATATTATTCATATTATTCAACCAAGAGATGAACAAGTTACCCCTGGAGGGTGAGAGCAAGCCCAGAGCTCAAGAGTAGAGGAACCTTTCCAGTAAGAAAAGCAGGTTCTCCCCATTGTTCCCCTCAATTCACCTTGATCTAAAACCCATATTACCAAGATAAGTAACCCATCTACTTTGTAATCCTTTTTGTAACTGGAATGGTACAAATAAATAAATCCTCTACTTTTGCTACTGCCTTCAAAAACATATAACCTAATTTATGAGACCTCATTCTCAAATAATTGATAATTTGTTCCTTTTGACTGTTTTTTCAAATGAGTACTTCATTCCCTAGGTCTCTCTGCCATTTTCCTGTCCATTTCCTTCTGGTCAATACCCTAAGGTAACCAAGTAATAATAATCCAGGGCTACATCTACCCACAAGCTGTTAACAAGCCAAAAAGGGAATGTTAAACAACTGAGGTTATTTCTGTACATTAAAATGTAGTATTGTTCCTCATCCTTTTTCCATATAAGTTAAATGATCTGACTGAATGGATTGGTTTACAGCTTATGTACTTAAAAATCCCCATCTGCCCACCTATGGACTACCCAAGGCATTCTCCAAAACAGCATCAAAATGATATATGAAAATACATATTATCTCAGTATGTCATTAATTTCCACTTTTTTTTTTCCTCAAGCTGCATTTGATTTCTCTGACATGGAAAAGCAATAAAATAGCCCTGACACAGATGGCATGAGATTTCTTAGAGTAACCACAGTTCTATCATATTACAAATATTAGCTCTTTAAAATATAAATCACAATTGAACAACAGCAAGAATATAGATCTGTTGTTTATGTACAGAAATTCCTTAAATTCAGAAAACTCTATCCACACATACATACATACACAGAGCCCCTTTAAAGCAGCCTCAATTTCATGTATTGTAGTTGTCAGATGAGACTATACAATTATACCAGCACCTTTCATATTTATAATTAATCTTCACCACATTTTTGTCAAGGAAGTAAAAAGGAGTGAACTACAAAAAATACTGAAACCTACTGCTCTGTTTGCTAGGTCTATACAAACTTACCTAGGCAACCAGAACATAGTTATTCAATAAGGAAGAAGTCTGGATTTGACTTAAAGACATATATAGTGATATATATTGGGAGACACCTGAAATGTCTGTTTTAATTTCTGAACAGTTAGACATCACTTTATTACAGAGAAACAATATATTAGGTTATTAGAGTTGCCCAAATTTGTTATTTTACTTTGGAATCAAACATTTTAACCCCTTTCACACTCTCCTACCCCCCAAAAAAAGCTTCAGCTGATAACTTTTGCATAAGCACCAACTTTGTCCACATTCCAAAAAAGGTAAACACTTTGAGATCCTAATATGAGCTGTCATCTCTTGACAGATATTTCACCTCCAATAAAATCATTTACCACTCAAAGTAACTCTCCTACAGGCTGTAATTACTTACCTATTTCCTGCTGTATAGACAGACTTCAGATCCATACTATTCATTTATTCATTTTAAATCAATTTAGGAATTAAAGTATATCATAATATAATAAGTTCACCCTATTTTTTTAATTCCACAATGGCCTTCAATATCATATTTAAATCTTTAACATTGTTAAGACTAGAGTTTCATAAAGCAGGTATTTACTTGTTGGATCAATGAAGCTGAATGTATTCCCTGAGGCTCTATTTTAGACACAACACTAGGCTGAATTATTTCTTAATAGGGATGTTTTAATATGAACCAGACTCCAGGTCTTCTTTATTCCACATACTTCATTTTAAATCATAACTGTAATTGCTCCTACTGGAAACAAAGCTTTGAAAGACATATTTGTCATCTTCTATCTGATAATAATTCCAAATAAATTCTAATATAAAATTATCACAATGTTAAGAACACACAGTCACACATTCCCTGGAATATTTTAAAATATATCTAAATAATCAAATATCAAATATTTAAACAGATAATGATATCCAGGCACTCATAATCCAAAGTATAGATATCTAACTAATGTTAAGCTGAACAACTTTTAAATTGTACAAACCCCAAACAGGCTTAGCAATGCAGATCTAACCATATCTGGGAACCCATTTTTCTTGACATCTCCTCACATGGACAAATGTGTCACACACCTGTAGCAACAAGATGACTGCCAAAGGCAGTCATTTTAAAAAGTAATCTTCACACTGAAACAACAAACAAAACGAGATTCATACTGGAAGCCAAATCTTCATTTTTTAATTTAATTTCTTTTCAACTTTTATTTTAGATTCAGGGGGTACATGTGCAGGTTTTTTAACCTGGGTATATTGTATGTTGCTGAGGTTTGGAGTACAAATGATCCTACTACCCAGGTACTTAGCATAGTACAGAACAGTTAGTTTCCCAACCTTTGCCCCCCTCCAACATTTCCCCATTTAGTAGTCCCAAGTGTGTACCATCACTGTCTTCATGTCCATGAGTACCCAGTGTTTAGTTCCCATTTATAAGTGAGAACATGCAGCATTTGATTTTCTGTTCCTGCATTAATTTGCTTACGATTATTGAATCCACCTGAATTTATGTTACTGCAAAGGATATGATTTCATTCTTTCCTATGGCTGCATAGGATTCCATCATACATATTTACCACACTTTATCCAATCCACTGCTGATGGGCACCTACGTTGATTCCATGTCTTTGGTATTGTGAATACTGTTGTGATGAACATCCAAGTGTGTGTGTCTTTTTGGTAGAACAATTTGTTTTCATTTGAATATATACCCAGTAATGGGGTTCCTGGGTCAAATGGTTTCTAGTAATTTGAGAAACCTTGAAACAGCTTTCCACAATGGCTGAACTAATTTACATTCTCACCAATAGTGTATACGCATCTCCTTTTCTCCATAGCCTTGCCAATATCTGTTGTTTATTGACTTTTTAATAATCACCATTCTAACTGGTGTGAGATGGTATTTAATTGTGGTTTTGATTTGCATTTATCTGATAATTAGTGATGATGAGCATTTTTTCATCTGTTTGTTGGCTGCTTGTATGTCTTCTTTTGAAAAGTGTCTCTTCATGTCTTTTGCACATTTTTTAATGGAGTTGTTTTTTGCTTGTTCAATGTGTTTAAGTTCACTATAGATTTCTGAATATTACACCTTTGTCAGAGGCAGAGTTTGTGAGTATTTCCTTCCACTCTCTTTGTCTGTTTGCTCTGTTGATTGTTTCTTTTGCTGTAAAGAAGCTATTTAATTTAATTAGGTCCCACTTGTCAATTTTTGTTTTTGCTGCAATTGCTTTTGAGAACTTTGTCATAAATTCCCAAGGCCAATGTCAAGAAGGGTAATTCCTAGGTTTTCTTCTACAATTCTTGTAGTTTGAGGTCTGACATTTAAATATTTATTCCATCTTAATTTTTGTACATGGTGAAAAGTGGGGGTCTAGTTTCATTCTTCTGCATATTGATAGCCAACTAGCCCCACACCATTTATTAAGTCAGGTAATGTGATGCCTCCAGCTTTGTTCTTTTTGTTTAGGATTTCTTTGGATATTCTGGCTCTTTTGGTGTTCCATATGAATTTTAGAATCATTTTTTTGAATTCTGAGAAAAATAATGTTGGTAGTTTGAGAGGAGTAACATTGAATCTATAGAGTGCTTTGGGCAGTGTGTTCATTTTCCAAAACTGATTCTTCCAATTCATGAGCATGAATTGTTTTTACACTTGTTTGTGTCATCTATGATTTCTTTTAGCCATGTTTGATAGATCTTCTTGTAGAGATAATTCACATCCTTGGTCAGATGTATTCCTAGGTATTTTGTTGCAGCTATTGTAATGGAACTTTTATTCATTTATTTACTTTATAGATATGGAGTCTCAGTATGTGGCCCAGGCTGGTTTGAACTCCTCAGCTCAAGAGATCCTCCTGCTTTGGCCTCCCAGTATGCTGGAATTACTGGCATGAACCACCATGTCCAGTCCTGTAAATATGATTTTGTTCTTGATTTGGCTCTCAGCTTGAATTATCACTGGTGTATAGAAATGCTTGATTTTGGTACATTGATTTTGTATTCTGAAACATTACTGAAGTCATTTATCAGTTTCAGGAGCCTTTTGGTGGAGTCTATAGAGTTTTCTATGTATAGAATCATATTGTCCATGAAGAGAATAGTTTGACAACTTCTTTTCCTATTTGGTTGCCTTTTATTTACTTCCCTTGCCTGATTACTCTGGCTAGCACTTTCAGTTCTGTGTTGAAAAAAAAAGTGGTGAGAGTGAGCATCCTTGTCTTCTTCCAGTTTTCAAGGGAAATGCTTCCAGTTTTTGCCCATTAAGTACAGTTTTGGCTGTAGGTCTGTCATAGATATATGACTCTGATTATTTTTGGGTATTTTCCTTTGATGCCTAGGAAATAATGTTTTCTGAGGGGTTTTATAATGAATCGATGATAGATTTTATCAAAAGCTTTTCTGCAGCTGTTGAGTGATCATATATTGATTTGCATATGTTGAATTATCTTTGCATGCCAGTAATGGCACCTACTTGATCATGGCAAATTAACTTTTTGATGTGCTGTTGAATTTGGTTTGCTAGTATTTTGTTGAGGACTTTTGCATCTATATTCATCATAAGTGGCTTGTAGTTTCCTTTTTCATTGTGTCTTTGCCAGATTTTGTTATCAGGGGTGATGGTGGATTCACTGGATTCATAGA